TGACTTATAGTCAAATATATACTGTAGGTCCATCTTGCCTACTCTTCATTTTCATTGAAAACTTACCTTAAATTTAACCATGTACAAGGCATCTGTTAACCTGTTCATGCCAGCATGTTCTTCGCCAATCTAACAGTTTAAAAGACAATGATAAATAGAGATATAGGATTTCAAAACAGTAAGAGTTAAAATACATCCGCCTACCACAAATGGATGCTCTCCAGATGTGCTAACTACAGCTCCTATCTTTTTTGGCCAACATGGAAGATCCCTCATCATTGGCCACTTCTTCTGTGGCACAATGTCTTAGACTTCATCACCACCTACTGAAAGTGATCTCTAAGAGATTTTATAGTACCTTTGAGAAGGAAATTTGTATCTGATTAAGTAGACTGAGTCTCCAAAAGCATATGCTACAAACATCTTTCTCTCAGTCTCAAATGGGCTACAAAATCCCTTTGCATACAATGCTACGAAATTCTGGGAATTGTAGTTTTGCGAGGCATTTAGCCTTCTCTGTCAAAGACCTCTGGTGCTACAATAACTACAGTTCCCAGGATTAAGCCAGGGCAGTTAAAGCGATCTCAAACCGAATTATTTGTGCAGTGTGTTTTGGACCTTAGACATTTATTCAAGAAAAAATATCGCTGTGTCAGTCTATATCTGGGATCTTGCAGCACATTTGATAGAGAGTACAGGGCAAGGCCCTTTACTGAAAGTAGTCTTCCAATATGAAGGTTTGCCTCCCCACAATGCAGGGGGGGAAAGACATTAGCAGCTACAGATAAGATTCAAAGGAAAAAATTTAAGTCCAGAAAAATTAGTTAACTGTACCACTATACACTGATGGTGCTTGTTGCTTCCCTGCCTCCTGCTAGCTATCTATTTCACAAACAGAAAAGAAAGTTTTGGTTTACAGCAAAATATTATGGCTGAAGGTACATCACAGAACACAATGAAATTCAGACCATTGATAAACCCATGCTAACTCAAAGCGTGGACACATTTTATCTTAACTTCTGCCTCATGTAAACACAACAGGCTAACCTCACAAGCCACTTCAATGTATCACATGTGCGGTATAGACAAGCTGGAATGAAATAGGCTTTGATACTGTCAACATCTACAAACAACAGATTTGCAGTGTTGTCTTGTACACGCAATCTTACTTTGTTGTTGTTAACTGCCCTCAAGTTGATCTTGACCCTTGGCGACCCTATGGTTGAGACATCTCTAAGGACCTTATCACACGGGGTCTAAAGCAGACAGAACCCCGTCCCATCTCCCTCCCATTGCGGTTTTTTTCTCCGTGTGTTCACATGACGTCACAGAGAACCCCATCCCATCCCCGTCCCATTGCGGTTCCTTTTCCCGTGTGTTCACACGACGTCACAAAGAACTCCGTCCCATCCCCGTCCCAATGCGGCATCATCCCCGTTCTTTTGAATGCCGGTTTCCTGTGGAATTACATTTGCACGACCAAAATGATACCGCAATGATGCTGCTTTCGTTCATTGCGGAATGATGCTAGTTGCGTCTGATAGCAATTTCCGTCTTGTGGGGTCAATACTGGTATAGTTCTGGATTGATTCCATACCTCTTTCTTGCCACTTTAAGACCCGCGTGTGATAATGTCCTAAGATTCCCTTTCCTCCACTGCTTTGATCACATCCTGCAAACTCAAACCCATGACCTCCTTAATAAAGTCCATCCATCTAGCATGCAGCCTTCCTCTCT